TTTAATGAACCAAGAGAGCATATGTGTGGAGGGAGGGACTGGAAGCCTGAAACTGCACTATTCAAGCAAGCAGAATGGCAGTAACTCCAGTCAAAACATGGGGAAAACAGCAGGGCTTCTGGCTGAGTTATCAGCATGGAAGTCACTTTGTCTTGTTACTTAAAAACAAGAACAGCAGCCTTAGCAGCACAACATCCTTTACTGCCACTACTGAATTGCTGTCTTGACTACTGAACCTCCAAGGCCACCTTCTGCTGCATCTTCCACTTATTGGGAGCCACTTGCTGTATCTCTTAAACTAATCTGAAATACATCTTTCAAAAAAATCTAGTGCAAACCTGACACAGTGATAATTTTAAAAGCTATGCTGCTCATGTCAAATTATTCAACATCTGTCTTCATGTTCCCACAAAGATTAGCATAGGATGGTGGTTTCTGATGACACCTATAGTGAAATATTTTGACTTCTACCAGCAAGTTGCAAACAACCTGTCAAGAGGATAATGTCAATTTTCTAGTACTGCATATTAAAGCCAATTGGGGGCTTATCTGGTCTGTGAAGCTACTGACCTGACCTAAAAACAGAGGCTCTGGTGTCACAGGAGGGTGAATCTGACACTCTACAGCTGAAGAACAGCAAGACATGCTGAAGCACAGAGCTGGACAGATTTAATGCCTTGACCTTAAAGAGCTGCTAAAGAGCTGTGCAAAGCTTAGACCTTCAGCGAGACTTATTTCTTTAGCCCTCCAGTTACAAAACTCATTCCTGTAACCAAAAGGCTACAGCCAAAGCCACTGTAGGTTTAAGGGCTGTACACCAAGGAGAAGTGGCTGAGCACAACGTATGTATGTATGTATGTATATATATATACACACACATATATACATATAAAAAGACATCATTGGAAGGACCGCTGTGCTCATACATGGCATTTTCAAAACAGAATCATCCAAGCAGTGGCTCGCAGGAGCCAGCTCTGCTATTACCTTAACCAGCCATCTGCTCACCCATTTCCGTGGGCACAGGGTGCTCTGGGGTAACAGCAAGAAAGCTAAAGAGCTCTGTGTCTGGACTTCTGTTCCTGCTGGCAAAAGTGTTCTAAGCAGGAGCAAGGGAGAGGGACTGATCCAGCTCACTGAGCTCAAGGTCAACATTAGAGTGAATCTGTTCCCCCAGGCACTAGCAGCAAGAGACACATGGGTTGCAGGAGGGTGTGAGACATCCTACTCGGGCAATGCTGCTTTGAAAACTCCAGGAAAAAAGGGTTTACTTTACAGGTAAAAAGAGCTGGAAACAAATCATGTCATGTGTATGTGAAATGAGAAAGTGCAGATGTTTATGGCCTAAACCCAAGATATGTTTTACTGTGACATTCCTCCGCTGAAGATGCAAGAAAGCATCCTTCCACTAGGTTTTTTGGCTGCCTGGAGTGGCATCTCACAGGTGATTCAGTGCGATGGTGTCTCTTTAAAGAACAGAGCTTTACTGGGTCATTTATTCTCTGCCTCAGAGGCCAAGACGGGAGTACACCATATTGGAAGTGCTTCACCCCTACCAGTCTCAAGCACCTTAAGTAATGCAGCCCATCCAGCCCCCCTGATCACAGTGCCAGGCAGCTTTCCCTGCTTTCATTCCCTTTCCATCACCTTGCTGTAGCCCCTCATCACACACTGTGATGGCCTTTCCTGAAATGCCTTTTCTGCAGGTGGATTATGAGGGGACAAAACATTCGAGTCTTTTATTCAGCCTGAAAGATTGCTGCTGGCCAACTGGACTGTGCTAGTGGCAAGACAACCCAGATATGTTAAGTTGCACACAGAGTAAGCAGAGCAGCAGCTCTTTGCACGCTACACAAGTCCTGAAGTCTGCAAGGCTGACTAGGAAGGAAAAGGCATATTCCTCCACTTTCAGTCTAATTTATAGCCTTTAAGTGTTGATAACTCCAAGCCTGGAAGAGCAAGCCCCCTTTCTCCTTACCCTCTTCCCTCCCTCTGCATAAATTCTGACATTTCCTAGAGATTTATTACAGCTTGCTCCTCATCTTGATCAGCAGCATTAGCGCACCGGGATAGAACGGCACATGCAGTTTGGGAAATAGGATACCACAGAGGGCTAATAAAAGTTGGCTCTTGGCACTCTTGCTGAACTGCCTTCTGTATCAGCCCAGCCTTGTATCTTTGCAACAAGCACAGCTGAAAGGATGGGATCAGCTAATGAGAAAAGGGTTTCAGACACACTTCAGACAACAAATGCCAATTTATATAACAAGCCTCTTCAGGTAGCAGGCTAAAAGCACCTTGACTCCTAATAAAACTGCACCTCCATTGCAAATGCTCCTTTCCCAGAACCCCCCTTACACACATTTTATTTATACCATTCATCTCAATAAACCTCTCCAACAACTCTGCTTTCCTAGACAGAGGTCTTTTGTGTGCATCCTTGCGGCTGTATTATTTAAAGGGTACATCACATGGATACTTTATCTCATTTAATCTGATTTAATCTCAGCAGATTTACTGAAGTAAAATATATTTATAGACCCATATAGATGCCTCCCCCCATCTCCATCACCATAAATAAATATTCAAAAGCAGAAAAACAGATCTGAAACATGATACTTGAGTTCCCATAATTTCTGCCTTAAGTACCACATGAGACCAACATTCACAACACAGAACACTGAAGTACAGCTTAAAGCTGTGGTGAAAGACTAACGTTTAGGACAAACAAAGTAGAGGGCACAGTAGGACTAGTTGCTAATCCTGCCTTATTTATCCTTGCAAATATAATAGTATATTGGATCTGCTTGAGCCATCAATAACAGCAATTTCACATTGAAACAAACAGTGCTGGCTGCAAAAGGCATGAAATCAGTGCAGGGGAGTGGGCTGAAGGCCGGGTTGGGGAAGACTATGAAAATTATTAGTCACTGTAGAAGTTTCCAGTGTGCTGATTCCATGAGACACTGCTCTGAGCTACACTGAGACAGCTGTGTATTAAGGCTCCTGATTGTCTTCCCTCCTCTGCCTCTTCAAACTATCTGTTGAGAGGAGGGAAGAGACTGGATTTCTCCTTTGTGCAGTTAAGTAAGAACAGATAGAAGTAATATACTATTTTGGCTTAAAAGGATGCCTTCATCTTAGTGCATGCCTGTATCTGTGTTTTCTTTTGTACACAGCTTCTCCAATCTCTGAGACAAAAAAAAAAAAAAGACAAAAACATCAGTAAGTTATTCTGAAGAACTAATTTAGCAGCAACTCTATCAAATGCAAGTTCACTGAAGTGTATGAGAAAGTATAACAAGCAACCTTCTAAAGCACAGTTAAACAAAACTGGTTTTAAGCTCTGTCCCTCTTGCCATTCTAAGCAGAGAGGCCATTCTACAGCTACTCAGCAGCAAACACACTAAAACAAAACAATAAAAGTTCAGCTAGAAGCAGGTTACCTGTTTTAAAGGATTAAACAGCCTGCCCTGACCAGGTTTCTGTACCACAAACTCATTCTACTCCTCATCTTTGCAGCCTTCAGAAGGTACTACAGTTTTCCTCTAAACATGCAGACTGGGAAAAAACACATACTGGAGGAGGAAAGAAAAAACAGAAGCAGCTAAACACTGTTTAAAATGCTTATTTTACAAAATGGACCCAAACTCAAACTAACATCCCAGCCCTTAAAGAGAAAGGAGGAATTGTTTCCATTAAAGAAATACATCATTAAAAAGTGACCTACAAAGACTTACCCATAGTGAGCGAGACTGAACTGATCTTTGCCAGAGCTCACACAAGAGACTGGCTGCGTGTTATTAAAAAGGGGGAGCAGAGGGGGGGTGTGTGTGTGTTTGATTCTCACTGGGGTCTCTCTTCAGAGCTCAGAGACCTTGGCTTGTTGGAGGCAGAGGCGTGCCTTCCAGAAGGACTTTACAGCAACGCACAACTGAGTTGTAAGCCAAGATAAAGCCGGCTTGTTATGAGAGGCAAGTCTTGTGGGCTGCTTTTATTTATTTATTTCCCAGTGTACTGGAAATGCAGAGCTTGTAAAGCAAGAATTAAGAGAAGGCTGGGAGAGGGAAAGGGGGGCTGTACGGCTGGCTAAAGTAAATCCTGGCTGTTCTCTGAACCCAGGGCTTGTATTGGGAGGGGGCTCGGATTGCCAGCCCCAGCTTCTGCTCCCTGCCCTCGGAAACTGAGGGGCTGAGAGAGCCAGACCTCTCAGAGGACCACCCAAGCTTGCCATTTGCTACCCTGCCGGCAAAAAAGGAGGGGAAGTAGGCTCCATAATAATAATAATAATAATAATAA